ATGGCCGGCATCACGTGCTTTAGCACAGAGTGTCTCAGCCCACTTGAACAGATCCGCACTTCTCATTGTGAATTCTTGTGGTGTCTGCTCAACATAGGCTGTCTTTCTGTTAAGCCGCCGGGGGAATCTTTGATGATGGTGCTGGTGGTTCATCTTCCTGATTGCAGTACAAACAAAAGTGAAACAAACAAACAGCTGACAAAGTGACAAAGATTTCCAAAAGAAAAGAGACTGAAGTGACTGAAATATATTATCAAATCACCGTCAATTGCTGTGAAGTTCTTGCCTCCACGCTGACCTTTCGCTTTCCACATTGCTTCACATTTCCAGACTCCTGCCAAAGTATATAAAGTAAAAAAAAGAAATTGACCAGCTAAGCCTGTCAATATATACCGACCTAAAATCGAATGCACACACACCCAAGTCATAAAATGTTCAAAACAATGTGTGTGTTTTTAAACTTTTTCCTTTAAACAGACTCCAAACCTCAAGGGAACGACAGGAACTGAAGGAATATGACCAGTAAAAAAACTAAGAATTAAAATTAACTAGCTACTTTTGGTTAACTTTTTCTCCTCTCCCCCTGTCTCTGTGTCTCTTCCCTTAACGGGGGGAGTGAACTCCAAGGGGTGACCGGGCAACTGGGACGACTGGTGCTCCGAGAAGCGGTCCAACCTCTCACGTCACCCCTTGGAGTTCACTCCCCCGTTAAGGGAAGAGACACAGAGACAGGGGGACAGGAGAAAAAGTTAACCAAAAGTAGCTAGTTAATTTTTAATTCTTAGTTATTTTACTGGTCATATTCCTTCAGTTCCTGTCGTTCCCTTGAGGTTTGGAGTTCAGTATGTTTTGTTTTTATCATGTAAGTGAAGTGAGTTACAACCGTCCGTCCTGGCGCAAGTTGGGACTTGTTGATGTCATGTTGACGCGGTAAGTATCATCATCATCATCAAGATTGTCCACGATAACTGGCTCATCATCTTCCAAGATGGGACCATCTTGTGGCATCATGGTTTGCGAGCTTCCCATCATTCACACAGTCGCGCGTCAAAAAACTAGTTGATTTAAAGACTGACATGGGACATACAACAAGGACATGACATGATTGTGAAAATTGTCAAGTGAAGCTGACAAAAGTTCTTATCCACTTCAAACAGTCTTGAACCTGATTCCTCACTGCCAGAGAGACTGAACACATTGAAATGACATGTTGAACGATTTCAATTTGTTGATGCCAATGTTTTGCACACATCTTCTGCACATGCAGTCAAATTGCATTATCTTTCTATTTTACAGTTTCCAGTTGTGCAGTCGCACCTTGATCAAATGAAACTGAAACACTATCTCCTAGGAGTGCGACTCCTGGACCTAGACCGCTCACGATTTGGCTCACCAGACTGTGGCTCATCACGATTTGGATGAGGCTGTGGCTGCTCTGGAGCAGATTGGTTTCTGGCCATCTCATGAGTGAACGTCCTGAACTCACGGCGAAGCGAATAGAACTCCTCCAAGATCTTGAATAAGACATAGAACGCCAATGCTGTGCGTTTATCCTCTGACATAGTGGGCTGCAAGAGTTCACCAATAGCTGCTTCTGCGCGTCGTCTATCTTCAGTTGCGTGTGCACGTCCTGTAGTAAGTTACATGGACTTTCAAAAACATTTAACATGTGAATGGCAAATACTTGGTACATTGGAAATTGGTGACATTGTGTGTCTCGTGAGTTTCGTGTGAACAAATATGTTTTTTGTAACACCACTGCCCTGACTGCCTTGCCTTCGTTGACTTCGTCACCACCAGCACTAGCACCGCAAGGGAGTTGAGTTGGTGTTTCCATGCCTGACACTAGCCAAGCTTCAGGATGGAGGATTAGAATGTGAGCACTGGTCCTGGGATACTGGGCCAAAATCACCTGCAGTGTGATCGGCACCTAGCATGAAATGTCTGACAAAGAAACCTCCAAGAAATGATTGATCAGTCTGCCATGTCTGACATGTGTGCTTTTCACCAAAGAGTCTGCAGGCAACCATTTTTTTGCCACACTTTTGCTTAGCAAAGTGTCCGGAGTCATGCATTGAGGGCCTGAACCATAGCCATTGAAGCTTCTCCAATTGAGAATCATACATATGACTTTACAAGGTCGAAGTACCATTGTAAGACCTTGCATGAGCGAAACAATTATGACATAGACAAAAACAAATGTCATCAAGACAATGACATCAACCTAACTTCCAACACAATATAGCTTGGATGCTGCATCTTCCACGGTCCGCTTGCGACTGTAGTCCATATATGCTCCCCAAAAACGCAAGCCTCTCTGATCGATTCCTTGGAGATTTATGGTTAAAGAAGGGCCACTGCCAAACAAAGGTTACTCTAACAGACCAGCAGTTAGAATTCAAACAAATCAAAAAAATTTAAATCCCAGGATCCGGCAGCGATGTGCAGATAGAATTTGTGTGCAGATAGAATTTGTGGTATCATGAGTACTAAGTGTGTCAGTGGTGACATCCAACCTACTAGCCATGGCCCCCAAGCTAAAAGCAATGGCCTTCAATCTCACAGCGATGGCCTCCAACCTGATAGTAATGGTCTTCAACCTCATGGCAATGCCCTCCAAATAGCAATGGCCTTCAACCTAATGGCAATGGCATCCAACAAAATAGTAAGGGCCTTTACATTTCCTATCAATTGTCCTTTAAAATCCGATATTTCTTTCTATCAATCCTCCTTTCAAACTCTTTACAGTACTCTTCCTATCCATTTTCCTTTAGCATTCTATACTTCGCTACACTTTTCCCATGGGTTTTTCTTCGGACATTATATACTTTTGGAGACGTCTACATATATATTCTAACTGCACTGCTTTTGTAATGTTTCAATAAGAGCAGGCAAAGGTTATCAGTAGGCAAAGGTTTGCCTGTTTGCTAGCCATTGTGTAAATGATGATGCCGGTTATGCGCATGATGCTCATGATGCTGAGCCATATAGTTTTTAATTGTCTAAAAATGATCTGAAGCTCAATAGTTGTGTCCGTTTTCATCCGATTCTGTTGAATTTAGTCCTATCTCTTCTCAAAGTTCTTGAACATATTGAATTTTCACCAGTTTCCCCCAAAAATCCGAAATGTTATGAAGTGGCCTCAAACCTCTTGAAACCTCAAGGAAAGACAGGAAAGGAAGGAATCGGACCAGGAAACTATCCAAAAACATTGAATTTTTCACATTTTCCAAAAATCCTAAATTTCAAGAAATGGCCTCAAAACTCTTGAAGCATCAAGGGAAGACAGGAACTGAAGGAATTAGACCAGGAAAATAACTAAACATTAAAAATTAACAAGCTACTTTTGGTTCACTTTTTCTCCTCTCCCCCTGTCTCTGTGTCTCTTCCCTTAACGGGAGACTGAACCCTGGCAGCCAAGGAGTGATGAGTGACCGGTCCGTTCCTTCAGGACTCCAAGTAACGGGGGGAGAGGTACTTCGCTGCCGGTCCTACACGGCGGTCCGGGTGCCGAGAGGTGGGGCCGAGAGTGCCGAGAGATGCCCCCGCTCCCACCATGTACACAGAGACAGGGGGAGAGGAGAAAAAGTGAACCAAAAGTAGCTTGTTAATTTTTAATGTTTAGTTATTTTCCTGGTCTAATTCCTTCAGTTCCTGTCTTCCCTTGATGCTTCAAGAGTTTTGAGGCCATTTCTTGAAATTTAGGATTTTTGGAAAATGTGAAAAATTCAATGTTTTTGGATAGTTTCCTGGTCCGATTCCTTCCTTTCCTGTCTTTCCTTGAGGTTTCAAGAGGTTTGAGGCCACTTCATAACATTTCGGATTTTTGGGGGAAACTGGTGAAAATTCAATATGTTCAAGAACTTTGAGAAGAAATAGGACTAAATTCAACAGAATCGGATGAAAACGGACACAACTATTGAGCTTCAGATCATTTTTAGACAATTAAAAACTATATGGCTCAGCATCATGAGCATCATGCGCATAACCGGCATCATCATTTACACAATGGCTAGCAAACAGGCAAACCTTTGCCTACTGATAACCTTTGCCTGCTCTTATTGAAACATTACAAAAGCAGTGCAGTTAGAATATATATGTAGACGTCTCCAAAAGTATATAATGTTCAAAGAAGAACCCATGGGAAAAGTGTAGCGAAGTATAGAATGCTAAAGGAAAATGGATAGGAAGAGTACTGTAAAGAGTTTGAAAGGAACACATGACACATGACAAACACAATGACATACCCAAATTACAAAAATTGCAACCAACATTTATAAAATATATAGTTCATGATGTCCAGAGTCTGCTGGACAAAGATTTTCATATATTGTACAATACTAGCGATGGCCCCCAACCTAATAGCAATGGTTTCCAACCTAATAGCAATGGCCTCCAACCTACTAGCGGTGGCCTCCCTAATAGCAATGGCCTCCAAGCTACCAGCGATGACCTCCAACCTAATGGCAATGGCCTCCAACCTGCTAGCGATGGCCTCCAACCTAATAGCAATGGCCTCCAACCTACAGTAATAGCAATGGCCTACAACCGAGTAGCAACGGCCTCCAATGGGCTCCAACCTAATAGCAATGGCCTCCACCTACTTCTTTCTTGCGATCACCAAAGATTCACGACCGCTCTTTGCTAAGTTCTTGTACTGTAGTCGTTGCACGTTTTGGCGTTTGCTCATATGAAGGCTCTTTTTCCTTCCCCAGGCCCCAGACTTGACTGCCTTTACACATTCATGCACATGCAGGCTGGAAATTAAGAGCTCGGATTTCCAGACAAAGCGACTGCTCTGCCACAGCAACGTGTGAACACTCAAAAGAAAAAGACAATCCAAACTTTCAGGCGCACACACAAACATACACCAACCAAAAAGTTGTGTACCCTTCGTAAATTTTGGCCATATGTAGTGCAAGTACTGTGGTTGCTTCTGTGGTGGCTTTATGGCAAGTCAACTCTGCTGCATCAAAAGCACAGCACACTACAGGACTCAGTTAGTCTTTATGTGCAGGCTCAGCACCACGTGCTCGACGCACACGCGAGAGTTGCTGCTTTGACATCCGGTCATTTGGATTGGCCTCCACGTGGGAGCTGAGAAGAAGCTCCATGACAATGAGCAGGGCCTGCCAACTTGTTCGCCCACTTGTCTCTGTGAACGATCGGCTGAAGTGAACTGAAGTAGGAGTGCTAGATCGCCAAACACAAGCGCTTGGGTGTACCCCAAGTGTGCATCCAGCTGGTCTCAAATGCAGTCCAGCATTTTTCAGCCGGATGTACTCAGGGCGCATCTCCACAGCTGGCATTCTTACACTAGAGTGCGCGGGAGCATTCACAGCAAGGTCCTCATCTTCACTCTCCGACTCATGAACAAGCATCCAATCTGCCATGTCCTTGCAAAGCTGCTCATCATCAGCCTCTGCAAAGCCATCCATATCCTGGTGGTCCATCACACACTCCTGGATCATGTCTCCTTGACATTCTCCATCATTGGGATTGAGGTCCTCTCCGAGGATATTGTCATGCTCTACCTCAACCTCCACCATTGCACGCTGCTCCGCCCGTGGGTCTCCTTCGATCAAGTCGTGCACAAAGGATCATATTCTAACTGCACTGATGAGACTGATGTTTTGTAAAGCACTTTGCTTTTACACTATGGTACTGTACTGTAGCAAGCAAATCCATTAGAAGTACAACAGACCCAATACATACATGTTACAATGCACAGTGTATCATCCGCTCCTTCAAAACGGTCAAGGTCTTTAGGAACTTCCGATGAAGACGGGGCAGAACCACGAAGGAGTTGGAGCTTCCATAGTTGTCCGCTTCCAGATCTGATTCTCAATTCCTCTGGATCCTTGCTCATGTGGAGGACTAGCATTAAGCAATGCCTCTTCAGCTTTGACAAGGGCTTGGCTGCCAAATTGACAACTTGTGCTTGACGCTGTTTGTCCAGCACTATTGTTCTTTGTGGCTCAGCTAGCCACGAATCATAAGCAGTCTGCATTTTCGGAGTCAGACCTGCCTTTCCATCTTCCATGCGTTTCCTGAGTCTGGCATCCCATATCTCAGATTCCTTCTTCCAAAGAAGAAGATTCCTTCTTCCAAAGAAGAATGGTTTTTTGAATTGGTTGGTTGAACCACATCGGCAAGGTGATGGGATCTGCCGCATTGTTTCCACAATCTGAGATTGCCCAAACAGAAGAGGTTTCACCATCGAGCAAAGTGCCTTGGGCTGCTTCAACTTGTTCCCTCTCAGTGGTAACATCTACTTGCGGCACCTCATCGACAGCACAAAGTTCAGCCATTGCCCCTGGAGTTGCTGATAAAGCTTTCTCAGCGGCCGCAATGTCTCCGTTGTAGTACCAGCGTGCCACCTGCTCCATATCAACCAACCCACGACTGACCCAGCTCCAAAGAAGCACCTTTCCATGTTGATAGGTGGCAATCTTCTGGAGGGCCCAGGCATCTGCTCGAAATGAATCTTCAGTGCTGAGCCTAGTGTTGCTCTGCAAGTAGATGATATATATATATATATACATATTCATATTCATATTCTAACTGCAATATAAAAACAACAAACAAACAAATACTGTCAATACAAAAACAAAGAAGTAAACAAACGTATGCGCTTTGCTGCTTGGTGGCTGAAACCTTGCATTTCCGTCAACACTCAAATCTATATCCGCTGCTGCTTGCCTCAACTTCAGACTTGCTCCCATCCCAAGCTTCAGTCGCTGAAACCCTCGTCTCAAGTAGTGCCAATACTGATGCCATGCGTCGTTGGGTGCACCCGTCGCTCCCCAACCACCAGGAATTGGCACCCGGTTGTCAGCCGCCACTCTCAAAGAGTTGCCTCCATGCAGCAAGATGCTGTTGGTGTCAATCTCAAATTGTGCTCTCAACTGTTCATACAGGTGACAGCCGTGAACTGATGCAGCGTCAGCCAGCACAAGGCAAGTGGCAGAGAACGGTAGGCCGAGGACTTGCCGACGTCTTCTAATCTCTTGGGAAAGGTGTGCCGAATAGTGGGTCAGTGTTTCACTGTTCCACATGTGTGAAGAGCTTTCATGTTGGCGAGATATTTGCAAGACACCTCGAAGTTCCTGATTCAATTTCTGCGCAAGTGAGTCTGACCTTGGGTTTCAAATCTGCAAACATTCAGAGTAGGGGCTGAACACATACTGTATTCGTTTCCACCGTCTTCAACATAATTGTAAAGAACATAATTACAGTAAGCAGGAGCAGTCTGTACAGTACATATATATATGTTTATGTATATTCTAACTGCACAGTACTGTCTTGTTTCAGAAACGAACTCTCTCAGCAGAAGACACAACCGAAGCAGGAGCTGTGACCCACGCTTGACCCATAGAGCCATCTGACCACGATAGAGTGGTAGTTGTTCTTGCTAATCGCTGATAATCCACTGGTACGAGTGTAGATTGAGCACAAAGCTTTGCCTGCTTTGGGCCCCTCTCAGTCTTCCCTTGTCGGGGTGCAACTGGCAAACAAAGAGAAGATTTGATTTCATCCAGCATCCTTTGTTGGGAAGGCTTCTTGTGATTGTCAGAAACCAACTCACCTAGCTTGTTGGCGTCCTTGTAGAGACATTTTTTGGATGGCTCATAATGAGTCGTCCACACTTGATCGAAGTGACATATCAATTTTTCATGTATCCCTCGGGTGGCCACAGCCATCTTCACCCAGTCCCGTACCAAGCTCATGCTCGGATGGTTGTATGGGAGATGTCTAGTTTGCTTGCTGATCCTTGCAGTCTTCAGTCCGAGCTTGTTGCACATTCTGGAAACACATCGCCTGAGCCATCAGAGCACGGTCAAACTCTCACATATTCAAATTACTATTCTAATTCTAACTGCACCTCCTACCTCTCTACAGTCTAGCAAAACTCCACTAAAGCTGGCTACAACAACACGTTTCCTGCAATGTATTGTAGAAACATAATATGTTTGAGCACCCCGCTGCCATCAAGTTGCATGAATGCAGTGTGAGTTTGAGTGAGGTGGCACGGCCTCAGAAACTCCAGCAAATGATCCAGCTGTTTCGTGGCCTGTTCATCCAACCGGTCTGCATCTGGCCCTGCTGCTTCTGTGTCAATCATGGAATCCTGCTGCTGCAAAAATTGCTGCCCACAATGCTCGCGAATCTCATCCGACAATTCTGATATCTTGGAGTTCCAAGTGTTGACCATTGCAAGCAACACCTCTGCCGCGAAATCCATTGTCACCTCCTCCCCCATGTGAATCCTTTCCATTAAGATGCTTTCTACAGCCAATGCCAAGTGTACCGGAACTTGACGTGCACCATCTTCGTTCTTGAACTTGGAGTTGGCATGCTTTAGCTCTGACACACCGAGTAGCACCTTCACACTGTTAGGAATTTCTGTGCATATCTTGGCCTGTTTTGGAGCAATCTCGCAGAACAAGTCCCACTTGTGGGATACACGTCTCTTCTGCCACTTCGCAAAGCACCCTTGGTACTGGCCTGCTCGCCTCTGTTTGTTCAGCATGTGCTTCTCAGGATGCTTCACACTCGGATCCGCCTTCAACCGTTCAAACTCCTAGCCGCTGTTGACTGTTGATCTTTTGGCAGGAAAATACGGAAATACTACTACTGCATAAGCCCGGCCCCAAAACTTTATGCGACAATATGCTTGAAACGTGCTTTTTTTTGAACATGTCAAGTTGGTTTGGTCTCCTTGAAGAGCTCAATTTTGGACCAGATTGATATGCACGGTTTCTTCCCTTCCCTGGAGATCTTGCACTTTGGAGTGTACCTGCGCTTTTTGGGAGGCTGTTTGCAAAGCATGGTCTTCTTGCTGGTGGCTGACTTCAAGCGCAAGGCCTCCAGGTGGCCCTGAGATATCACTGCTTCGTCTGAATGAGTCTTTTTGTTGCACCGGCGTGGTACGCTATCTGGATGATTGGGGTTCACAGAATTCCGAGCAAAAGTCTCATTCTGATTAGGCGCTGTCTCAGACAACACTACACTCTGAGTCAATATTGCATCCGCCATAGAAGTCTTTTCTCTGCACCGACGTATCCGTGGATTTCCATGATGTCCCTCACCAGATTCCAAAACAACCACATCTGCAGCAGGTTCATCACCAGAATCAGCAGGAACAACTTGATGAACTGCTGGGCCGGTCTCATCTTCATCGGCTGAAGATTGCAGATCTTCAGCGTCCGGAAGCTTATCAGCTGCATCACTCATGATCTTCCTGAATGCATTCCAGTATGCCTCCAGCTGCTCTGAGTTCATGTCAACAACCCTGGGCGGTTGCCAGTTGCAGGGAGGTTTGTCATATATGGGCCCGTCCTTTTCCAGCAGCTTGAACTGAGACCAAAAGATTTGGAGTTGCTCTTCAGTCATATCGCGAGCCTGCACCTGCCCAGTGTTGGCTTAATATTCTATCTGCACTATCTCCAATTAATTTATAAATTGCATTCAATTGCTCGTTCGATTGATTTTAAAACAATTATTTCTAGTGTACTGTACTGTAGCGTGTTGAGTTTTCTATCTACTGTACCAAGCCTTGCTGCTGAAGCTGCTAGAGCTGGACCGCTTGGGATTTGGATAGATATCTGTTCTTTGCCTCTTGCATGGAGTGAAGTACTTCTCCACAGGACCACGTCGTGTGTCAGTGGCATCACCGGGGATGGACTCAACGGATAGTGACCTTTGTGATGTATCACATGGGCTCGGCAGTGAAGCAGAGCTTGCACAGGGGCTTCCAATGTGGCCACCGCTGATTGTTTTCCAACCAGTTGCATTGACCAGAGAAGCAATCAGCTGAGCCTGAGCAGCTGTGGATGCGAAAGCATTGCCACATAAATCCTGCGCGTTTGATGGGTTGTTGTTGATCTCATCGTCTATTGCCTGCGGTGATGAAAAGTCATTCTTCCAGATCCCCTGGCAATTGAACATCTCATGAATGGTGATACACCTGCCAAGTCTGTGGCTGTATATTTGGTGTGACGGGCGCGTGCAGGTGGATACACCCACTGCCATCTCTGCAACTCTGGATGAACTAGTCGATGTGTCCACAAAAACATCATCTGCCGCCTTGTTGTGCAAACGACACAGTCTAATTGCTTCTTCCAATTTGGTCTTTGCTGTCCCATGGAGCGGAACTTTTGGAAGACTAGTGTCAAACACATCTTCAAAAGCAAATGTGGACTCACCAGACAGGTTCATCAGTGTTTCCCGCATTCTAAGAGAGAACTCCTCAAAGTCTTGCCCATGGTCAAGGTCACCTGTCACATAGACTCGGTTTCTCCTCTGGGTGAGAAGGTACCGAGCTGCATCCAGCTTGGACCATTGGAACATATATCCCATGTTCTTCAGGTCTTTGCTGATCACCTTCAGGGCAGCAGCACATAAATGCGCATAGATATATTGATTTGCTGGTATATTCTATCTGTGCGTGCCAGTATGCTGTACAGTATAGGACCCCTTTCTCCAAAAGCCTCACGCAAGGAATATGGCATATGGGGTTTGACTGTTTAACTCCGTTCAGCCTCTACCGGAGATGGAGAGCCATCTTTGGCGCGGTCAGCCACAGTGGTTACATTCTCGAACATGAAGATTGCCGGCGTTGTGCATTCCAGCGCCTTCAGCACGCCCATTTTGTAGGTGTTGCCACTAGTTCCACTTCCACTGCTGTAGCCTTCAAGGTGTCAATCAGTTTCAAAAACGACCAACAATTCTTGTTACGTATTTGTGTGGCAAACATACTACTGTACTGTAAACACCGGTCCATGAGCACTCACTGCAATGTACTGTACAATATTTGGCAGCATTTGGCAAGCCAAGAAACAGTCTTTGTAGTGTGCTTGATGCTGAAACATTTTGCTGAGATTCTTGCACGAAGGGCCACTGACTAGAACGTCTACAGCTTGCGGAATCTTGTGAGAACAGTGGCATGTGAAGCAATAGCTTTCTCCCTTGCTGATCTGGAAGTCAAACATTGCAACATCTTGAAAAAGATGAAAGGTGTCTTCTTCGCCACTAGCACGATGGGCTGCCAAGATGAAACGCCTCTTGTTCTCATTGTTCTCCACACTGAAGGAATGTACAATCTTGATAGATACCTTCCGGGATATATCTTAGGATTTACAATAGGATGTGAAGACACTCCTGCTCCTACTGTATATGCCTAAAAGGTGTACAGTGTTTGTGTATGGATGCTCACTATTTGCCGTACTGGAGTGTGTGCATATCTTCTACAAAGGAAACGTCACTACTGTACTGTACTGAATGCAAGGTGCATCGAACAGGCTGCATAATGTTTTGAAGGTGTGCTTGAACACAGGAATAATCACGTCAGTCCCGCTGCATGTTGATCCCAAAGTTATAGTCTTGCCGTGCAATGCATTCAGGGTATCTTGAAGCCGCTTCCTCTCTGACTCGGACAGCTTCTTTACAAAGTAGCTGGCTGTGGAAGCCAAGCTCATATCTGGAATCTGCAGCGTCGAAACAACCTTGATGTCGCTTTCGCTGATGTAGTATGACCGTCCCTTGCGGGGGTCTATGCCCAAGGTCTCAGTCTCAAGGATTATGTCTTCAAATTTCCAGGCAAAAAGAGTCTTCTTTGCGCAAACCACACCTCAGCAAACATTGGTGGAAAGAACTCCCATACGAAAAGAATGTTCTACATGCGTTTGGCTCTATCGACTGGTTGCATGCAGAACTTATCACGTAAGTATATTCATATATTCATATTCTATCTGCATTCCAATCGCTTTCCGGAAGTCTAAGCGCAAGCACTTTACATTATCTCTACATTGAACGCAAAACTGGTTTTCATCCCCCCGATCTGACTGCTGCATCGTATAATGTGGCTAGGCACGATCTCTCCACACACGCTGCTCCATATCGGAAACGCCGAAGGGTCTGCTAGAACGTAGCTGAGCAAAGGTTTTAATGTCTGCGCTAGACACGACAGTGCCTCGACCAAGTACCCTGCGTGTAGAACCTTCAACGAAGACCACAGGCATTGAAGACAAGCTCAAGCCTGCAGGCTTCCATGAAAAGATCCAACCAACTCCTGTGTCTCTAATGGTTTCTAGTAAGGCGCCAGTAAGCCGAAGAAGAACGAGCTTCGCTGCACTGGTAGATTGCTGTGCCATGTCTGGTTGCTGAGCTGGATCCATTTGTTGCTTTG